TGGATTTGAACCCGCCACCTTAGTTGTATATGGCTGGTGCCTTAACCACTTGAGTCACAGGCACCGAGCCGGAACTACCTTTCAAATTGTGATCTGACTCAGATTTTTGGAGAAGCTTTTCCCTGGCTCTGGCTCTATATTATTACACTCTATTATTAAAAACTCAAGTGTCAGATTTGACTTCATAGTAAGGCAAGTCTTAGTAGCAGTGTGAAGGGAAAAGAAGCAGTGAAGACTAAAAAGAAACTGAATACCAAAGAGAAAAAAAGTGATTGCTTTCAGAGGCAAGTATGAAAATCAAGCCCAAAATAGAGCACCTGCAAAAGCATGTGCAAATGAGACAGTCAAATCAGAGTGGCCCTGGGGAAACTGTGAGGCTGACCCACAAATACAGACAACTCTGCAAAATACTGCAGAGACAAATCTGAGGTTTAACAATCTCTTATAATTTCTCACCAGCCTCCCTCAACCTTTAAAGGGTACTTACTCTGTGGGCTCTGAACCAAAGCATACGGCAAGCAGTAACTTGGGGAGTGGAAAGGGGAATCCACTTCCCAAAACATAAGCAAGAGGAGTAGGAATCTCTTGACAAGTTCTTACCTTGTTTTTATTGTTGAAAGCCAGAGCCCGGACCTTGCAGTTGTCAGGATTTGTGTCCTCCTTGGGGATGTCCTTTAAGGCTTTATGAGTGATGTGAGCATACACAGGGACCCGTGACACATTGTGTCTTGCATCACTTTTGGTCAACACATCATCTGTCACCTCCCAGAGTCCCATAGAACCATCACGTGAGCCTGTAAGACAGGGAGACCACAGATGTCAGTCATACTTAACCCTCCATGGGACAATCCTAGAGAGGCCAAGGTGAGCTTTAATAGTCTAGCTGTCTCCATCATCCTCATTTGTGAAGCTAGGTCAAGTGGCCCACCCTAAACAGAGAACAGTAGGCATTTTACTAGCTATACTAGGAGAATTATTCAACTAAGGCCTTTAAGTTAAAAATAACTTTTAAGGCTCGGCGCCTGTGGCTCAAGTGGCTAAGGTGCCAGCCACATACACCTGCAGTGGAGGGTCGAATCCAGCCCAGGCCTGCCAAACAATAATGATGGCTGCAACCAAACAAAATAGCCAGGCGTTGTGGTAGGTGCCTGTGGTCCCAGCTACTTGGGAGGCAGAGGCAGGAGATTCGCTTGAGCCCAGGAATTGGAGGTTGCTGTGAGTTGTGATTCCACAGCACTCTACCCAGGGGGACAGCTTGAGGCTCTGTCTCAAAAAAACAAACAAACATTAAAACAAAAACAAAATAAAAAAAACCAAACATCTGGTTCAGCTACACAACCAAACATGAAAACAAACAAACAAACCCACACTCACCTGTGGGGTAAGTCCTTACTGGTATGCAACTATAAATTGAGGCTCCTAGCAAGAACACAAGAACCAAGGCAACCATGGTTCAAAGAGTCCTTACTATGCAATCATACTTATGACATTCTGTTGGAGACTTAGAGCACACAACAGAAAGATACTTTCCTAAGTCTCAGCGTGAGAGTTCTATGTAAGTGAAGGTTCTAATCTAGGAGAGATAAATGTACCTTTATGGTACATTTGGAGATATGGATGGCAGATAGAAGATTAGGGAACTACCTTTCTTTCTTTTTTTTTTGAGATAGAGCCTCAAGCTGTCCCCCTGGGTAGAGTGCTGTGGCATCACAGTTCACAGCAACCTCCAACTCCTGGGCTCAAGAGTCTCCTGCCTCTGCCTCCCAAGTAGCTAGGACCACAGGCACCCGCCACAA